GGGCCTGCTGGGGAGTGTGGCCGTGGGGGCCTGCTGGGGAGTGTGGCTGTGGCAGCAGACACTGAAGAAATCAGAGAATACACTTCACATTTTCAGATTTGTTTAGTGTGTGTGTGTGTGTGTGTGTGTGTGTGTGTGTGTATGTGATGTGTGTGTGGGGGGGAAGAAATTAGAGATGACACTTTACATTTTCAGATTTGTTTAGTGTATGTGTGTGTGTATGTGTGTACGTGATGTGTGTGTGTGTGGGGAGAAATCAGAGATGACACTTTACATTTTTATATTTGTTTATTGTGTGTGTGTCGGTATATGTGATGTGTGTGTGGGTGTGGGGGGGAGGTCCTTGTGCCACAGTATGGAAGCCAGAGGACAGTTTACAGGATCAGGGTCTCTCCTTCCACCATGAGGGGCTGGGGTTTGAACTCAGGTCGTCAGGCTTGGCAGCAGGTCCTGGCTCGGAGATGGACATCTTGTGGTGGTGCTCGTTTATCCTTCTGGTCGTGCAGAGGTAGAAGTGCAACCCCATCCTGGCGGCTTTACTGCTCTTCACTGCTGAAGTGTTCCACAGGCGACGGTACAGCCTCTAGCGTATGCTTTGATTCTTTTAAGTGAAGCGAAATTGATGTAGAGTACAGTCCATAGTTTTTAATATATAGTTCCATGATTTGTAAACTGTGTGACTTTTTATTTTTACTGTTTTATTTTTCCATTTTCACATGCAAACTTGTGTCTCTGTGTGTGCGTGTGTGTGTGTGTGTGTGTGTGTGTGCAGGCATGCGTGAGGAAGCCTGAGGTTGGTTTCAGGAATCATTCTCTGTTGCTCTCCCACAATATTCATTGAGGTGCACAGTCTCTCAGTCAAACCCAGAGTTCACTGACAAGGCTGGTTTTGTTAGTCAGCTCTCTCTCTCTCTCTCTCTCTCTCTCTCTCTCTCTCTGCCTTCTGAGGTTGTAATTATGAACAACATCCATGGCCACTGTCTTAATTAGGGTTTCTTTTGCTGTGAAAGACACCATGATCACAGCAGTTCTTATAAAGGAAAACATTTAATTGGAGCTGACTTACAGTTTCAGAGGTTTAGCCCATTATCAAGGAGCAGGCATCATGCAGGCAGACATGGTGCTGGAGAAGTAGCTGAGATTCGACATCTTGATCCACAGGCAACAGGAAGTGAACTGTCTCCCACACTAGGCATAGCTTGAGCGTATGAGACCTCAAAGCCTGCCCAACAGTGACATACTTTATCCAACAAGGCCACACCCCTAATAGTGCCACTACCTATAGTCCAACCATTCAGACACATGAGTCCATGGGGTTCATATCTATTCAAACCCCCACCCCCACCCACGGGGCTCTTGGGATCTGAATTCGGGTCATCATATTTATGTGGCAACTCCCAGCCTGTGTGTGTGTGTGTGTGTGTGTGTGTGTGTGCGTGTGCATGTGTATGTGGACTGTGTGTGTCATGATAATGAAAGTTGCCAGGGTTACTTTTCAGGGACTTGAAAACCACTTTTGTTTAAAGCCCTCACTGTTCCCTTGGGTCTGTGTGGGTGTCTGCTGGGTGACTACAGCAAGGTGACAAAGCTGGGCATTTCTGTATGCATGCTGTGTCTGCCCCTTTGCTGCCCTGCCTTTTGGGTCAGTTCCTGTAGACGTGCCAATCACTTAATGTGTTCTTAGGAGGTAAATAATGACTGTCACTAAGCTCATCCAATCTTTCTTATCTCTTCAAGCCAAAAGGTGTCAAGATAGGAATGGCTGAGATATTTTCCAGGCTTCAAGCAGGTGTGTCTAGCCTGTGGCCCGAGGGCCATGTGTGTTCTAGGAATGAACCCAACAAAAACCATGAAGTTATTTAGGAAGCTGGATAAATGTCTCGGTGACTAAGAGTGCTCGCTGTCCCTGCAGAGGGCCTGGTCTGGTTCTCATCACTACAGCTCAGGAGACCTGAGGCTCTTTTGGCCTCTGTGGGTACTGCATGCTTGTGTTATACACACACAAATAATTTTAAAAACCTTACTAAAATCATATTTTTTCTACTTTTTTTTCAACTTGAACATCATAGATGACATATCTGTTATAATGAGCACCAAGGTGTTATGATTACATGTATACCAACCACCGATTTCACAACCCCGTCCCATTCCAATCCATGGGAACGGGGCCTAGGGATGTCCATCCACCATTCTTTCCCTTCCTAAGCCCTTCTTTCTCCTTGCCTCACTCATACTGAGTTAAGATGTGTTTTTCAAGGCCAGTGAGATGACCTTAATGGATAAAAACCCTTGACATCAATTCTGATGACCCAATTTGTCCCACATGGTGGAAGAAGGGTGCTAACTCCTACAGGTTGTGCCCTGGCCACCAAAAGTGCATCATGGCATGCATGTCCACACTGATACACAATAAATAAATAAGATATAATTTTAAAAATTGTTGTGTTTTTCCAAGGCATTGGCCTGTTGTCTTTATGGTTTTATAGGTATTTTGAGTAAATATTTTTAAAGATTTATTTAATTTTATGTGTGTATGTGTATATGTGTACTACATGCATGCAGTTTTAACACAGACCAGAAGAGGGCACCAGATTCTCTGTAATTGGGGTGATGGGCAGCCGTGAGCTGCCTTACAGGTTCTGGGAGCTGAGCCTTGGTTTTCTGCAAGAGAGTTAAGGACTCTTGGCTGCTGAGCCTTCTCTCCATCTATGAGTAAACTGTTTCATTGCTCTAGCTACTCGCCCTAATTCCTTGAGCTCTCTTCTTGAGAGGTAGATACATGGGCTTGGTTTGGTGGCAGGTTTCCTTTTCTGTGATTATTTAAATTGTGTTGTGAAGTATCTTTCGACTTACACCTAGAATATAAAGTTTTGTTGCCATATTCTCTTTTGCTCTCAAGACAGGATTTCTCTGTGTTTCCCTGGCTGTTCTGAAACTCACTGTGTAGACCAGGCTGGCTTTGAACTCAGAAATCCACCTGCCTTGCCTTCCAAGTGCTGGGATTAAAGGCATGCACCACTAAACCCAACTATTTGTTATTCTTAATTATTAGGGGAATATTGATATTTCATACTAAAAGATAATGTTATAGGGAAGAAAAACTAACTTTTCCTCACTCATAAGTTCTTTTAAAAATTTATGTATGATGTGTGCCTATGTGCAAGCATGCAACACAGACACTCATGTATCACACAGCACATATGGAGGTCGAGACAACTCGTGTCATTCTTCACCTTCCATCTCATTTGAGACAGGGTCTTTTGTTTCTCACATCTGGCGATTCTCCGCCCTTCATTTGCCTGTGACTGAGGGATTGCAGACACTTACTACCGTGCCTG